GGGGCCATGTGGCTTCTGTTTATACTGCTGCATTCCCAGTTTCTTTTTTGGTACTTGATGCTCTCGGTGAAAGTATGTGGAATGAATAAATTTTGTTTCCCTCAGTAATCTTTTATGATATTTTTACCATCTTCATTTAACAGATTAAAGCAGTTTAACCAGTATAACACTAGTGAATCAGTAATGCTAAGGTATGGATTTGTTTTAATTAATTACTTAATGTATATTTATTAAGCATATATACCATGTATCAGGCTCTCTATAACAGGCATTGGACATGTGATGGACAGTCCCTGACCTCAAGTAATTGATGGTCTGGTTGTAAGAAGTAGACAAGTAGTTATACAGCGTAATGAGAAATTTGATAGAGGTATCAAATCTATATATTTAACAGGCATACCTCGTTTTATTATACTACGTGCTTTGCTTTTTTTTTTTTTTTTTTTTTTTTTTTTTTTTTTTTTTTTTTTAAAATAAATTGAAAGTGTGGCAACCCTGCCTTGTCAGAGGATGGCTAGCATTTTTAAACAATAAAGTTTTTTTTAATTAAGGCATGTACTTTTTTTAAAGTCATAATGCTATTGCACACTTAATAGACTACAGTATAGTGTCAACATAACTTTTATATGCACTGGGAAACCAAAAAATTTTGTGTGACTCACTTTATTGTGATATTAGTTTACTGCAGTAGTATGGAACCAAACCTGCAGTATCTCTGAGGTATGCCTGTATAGATATACTATACTATATTTTAGAAATGTGTCAGCTATTTTCTGTATTGGCAAACATTGTATACATATGCCCCCAGGTTATGACAAGTCTACTTAAAATTTGTGTTGAAGTGTTTTGTTCCTGAAACCTTTAGTGCTTTTCAGCCTCATTGTGATTTGCTCAGAGTTGCAGTTTCCTTTTTGTTACATAGTTTTTCCAAAATACTTGAAGACTCACTCAGTGAACTTAAAAATTCTGTTGCTGAAAGAAAAAAATCCTGATACTTGAGAATTCTGAATATCAAATCCAGATTTCATGGGAATGAGTTACTTTTTAAAAAGAAAAAACATGCAACTGTAAATTAGTATTTGTTTACTTTTTAAAACATACTACTTTTCCTCTCATAAGTACAGGAGTCAAAGAGGTAGATTATGAACTCCTAGAATCTGAATATATATTCTGTATGTTTTCCTCATTAAGCAATTTCAGTATTTCATTAAATTTCGTATAAATAGCATTTTTCAAAATTAAATATAGTATATTTTGCATACTGATACTTGTTACAAATATTCTTTCTTATGATATTTTATATTATGGTTTTGTTTTCTACTTGTTTAAGCGGCAAATACCACTGTTCTGTCTCCCAATACCAGAAGATTTTAGGTTATCTCATTTGCTAAAAGAAGGCAAGGAAGGACTGTAAACAGTTTACTTTGTTTTTGTCTTGTTACATTTTGCAAATATGATTCTATCACTATTTCCCCCATCCCTTTTTATCAGTTACTTCTTTTCCAGAATGCCTCAAGTCTTAGTGAAATTGTGATGATTCTGACTTTTTAAGAGAAAGCAGGTTTTCCTCTCCAGTTGGCACAACTTGTCAGCTCTTTTAGTTGTTTTTGTGCTGTTACTTTTCTTTTCCCAGCTGAGTAGTATTTTCCCCCCAATCCAAATATCTTTAAAAATATAGAACTGTCAGTTTACTCCACGATACTGCCAATTATTATTTCTGTTTCTTAATATATGCCAGATATACCACTTTGTAGCCTTTGAAAAACTATTTCACCTCTGTCTCTTCATGAGTAAAGGGTGCTGGGATTGGACTATATGGTTTCTGAGGTCCTTTATGCAATGACTTATACAAATTTATTTCAAAATAATGCAGGTCAGAGTAGAATGAGCTTTTAGCTCTTAGTATTGGCTAGGGCGTCCTAGAAATGGCCATGAACTAACGACGTGATTAGCGAAGGTCTCCCGGTTTTCATTCCAGGAGCCCACAGCCTACTGAAGTGTCATAGCTGTGTATGATCGTGTGCGTTTGAGCTTATTTGTGTGTGTTTAGTTCAGAATTAAGCAAAGTTATAGTATAGTGACTTTTGGCAACTCAGAATTTTCAGTGAATCTGAGAAGACAAAATTAGATAACACTCTTCTGGTTGCAATTAACAGATTCTGCTCAACTAGTTAAGACAAAAATTGTTTGTGTGTGGTGCATAGAATGAGATGAGGGATTTTAATGGCTCTTAGAATCAAGAAGAGTTAGCAGGAGAATAGGTCTTACAGGCCAGATATTATGAGGGATATTGTATTCCATGTGTTTTCTTGTATGCTGGTAATGTTGCAGGAAGGGGGACCCCTTCCAGGGCCCGAGAGTGAGCTCTTGTCTAACACTTGGAAATGAATTGTCCGAGGAGACATGCATGCTGACAAAGCAAGAGACTTTATTGGAAAGGGGCGTCCTGGTGGAGAGCAGGAGGGTAAGGTGACCCAGGAGGACTGCTCTCCCACGTGGCTTGCAGTTTCAGGTTTTATGGTGATGGAATTAGTTTCCAGGTTGTCTCTGGCCAATCATTCTGACACAGGGTCCTTTCTGGTGGCGCGCGGAACTGCTCAGCCAAGATGGATTCCAGTGAGGAGGATTCTGGGAGGTTGGTTGGACATGTGGACTGGCATCCCCTCTGTCCTTTTGACCTTTCCCATATTCTTCTGGTTGGTGGTGTCTTGTTAGTTCCGTGTTCCTTACAGGATCTTCTGTCATAAAATAACTCATGCAGGTTGTTACTGTCCTTGCCTGGCCAGGGTGGGCGGTTTCAGTCAGTGTTTTCCCTAACAGTAACTTCATTATGTCCTTCTGCAGATGGGTTTTCTCCATGAGTCAAGAGACACGGTTATCTGTAATTTTAGACTTAACCTCCTTATAGCCTTGTGACTGGCGAGCTCCAATTTATAAAACACATATCAAAGAAGAACTCTCAATAGACCTAGCCCAGGACATATGTCTTGCCCAGTGACCAGGAACCAGGGGCTTATTGCCAAAAGGAATGATTTGGAATGGGAAAGGGTCATCAAGCAAAGATTGCTTACCTGGTAAACATAAAATGCCCATTATTGATATTTAAAGGGGTCTAGTTTTGTAGACAGAAATAATTAAGGGTAATAATTTGTAATGGAAAAGACTTTTCTTTTCCATTCTAGTGCCGTATTCTAGTGATTTTGATCTAAGTCTACTCTATTCAGGTGAAGAGGGCTTTGATTTGGATTCAACCAGCCTTATAGTCAAATGCAGACAGAAAGAGGTCTCCATATGTGTGTGCTCATTGTTTTTCCTGTCTCATTTCCTTTATTTTTCTTCCTTCTCTGTGTACTTAAACCATACCCAGTGAGTCTGTATTTACATATAAGGATTTAAAAGTAATATGGTTAAAGCTTAATCTTGTTATTTTATTATATAATGTCTAGTTAATTTCTATTTAATGATTATCCCTTGGCTTCTGATTTTTAAAAGTCTAGACTCAGTTCAATATGACACACATTTGTTGAGTGTTCTAGGTACTAGATTTACAAAGAGGAGTAAAAGCTGTTGTGTCCCCTAACACGAACTTAGAGAAAAATATAAATCAGAAATTTCAGCATGTTAAATGAAGTTAAATGTTTAATATGCTCTCCACCTTAATAATAACTCACTTTCTTTACATTTGAAATTTTAGTTGAATATAATTTACTTGTAGTGTAATGACCATATCATTAGTAAGCTTGACAAATTTTCACAAACTTAACACATCCATGAAACCAGCATCCAGAGTGACTCAGTTTCAACCCCACAATGTATAACTAAATGCATAACAGTGAAAATATTGGAAAAGGATGTTCTGCTGTCTTCGGGTACCTTTTTTCCCCAAAAAGTTTTTGCTAGTTGCCTCTGCTGCTATTATTTTTTGCAGTAAAGAATGGTTTCTTTGGCTTATTAACTGAATGCCAGGAATCCCACCGAATTCCAAGTGAAATACATTCTCTGTGTTGGTACTAATTTTTATAATCATTAAAAAAAAAAGATGCTTTGGGATAGCTTATCATTCCAAATGATTTTACCATTCCAAATTTTTGAAGAAAATGTAATATGATTAAAATTAACATTGTTTAGCAGGACTTCTTCAGAAATGTTTCTGTGGTTGTAGTAGTGATTTTTATTATTATGGATTTATGTAACTTCCATGATATTTATCAAATTTCCTTCACCTGAATACAACTAGAATAAAATCTCCATGAGTTACTAGTTGTTTTTGAAATTTACACTTGTAGCTTTCTATAAAGAAAAATGGTTTAATGAAGAATTTAGTGTGAATATGATTGAAACTATTGCACTAAATATAGATAACTTTTGAAGTATCTTAAGCATTTCAGAGGCATTTATTCATGAGTATATAATTGATGTACTTCAATACATAGCATATTTCCTTGTATATATTACATGCTTAGTAATTAGTTGAGATTTGTTATTCAGTTTTTAAGATATTTTCAACCACTCTTAAATGTAACAAATCTCATCTTTATAAATGGATTATTTCCCTGAATATTTTAAAAGGCATTTAATTTGAAATATTTGCATCTTTTTAATGAACTCAAGGTAACCCTTTCATCTTTCTAATGTGAGATTATGTATCATTTAGAGACTCTTTAAGGGAAAAAAAGATTGACTTGATTTTTAAACTGGTAACGACATTTTTGAGAATATTATAATTGCCAGCAATTAAGCAAATCATTGAGTATTTGAAAAATACTACCTACTTAAAATAACTACTGAATGGTAACAGTTTAAATATATTCCCACTAAAGATTTCTCTTACTACTTCACAACCAATAGCATAAAAGATAAGGGGAGGTTTTTCCTTTTTTTTCCTTTTTTTTTTTTTTAGTGGAGTGACTGAGAGAGATATGGAATTTCTTTGCAGTAATTAAATGAAAGTGTTTATTATGCAAAGGAACTTTAACATACCCATTTTTATTCTTTTAAAGGAGGGTGCCTCGGCCCGTAAGACGCAGACTCCTGCAGCACAGCCGGTACCAAGACCAGGTAAAAATATAAAACTTTTTGATTTTTGTTTTTTTCTATAATCATGACAGTGAAAATTTTTGATAATGCGTAATGCTTTGAAGGAATTGAAATTTTACGTAAAATACTTCAAAACTAGTATAAGAACATTTACTTGAGTAAATAGGTATAGTTGAAGAGTTAAAGAAAATTTTTAAGAAAATGTTTTTAAGATTTTAAAAACATGTTTTGAAAAGCTATTTATTATGTACCCATTCCCCCATCAATTCCTTGTTTGAATTCCGTGATAGTACAGTGGATGTGATTTTTGTTTTTTCCTACAGAAGCATAGAACCATAATTTTAATAGACTGATAAGCAGCTTTGATGTTTAGATTTTCAGATATCTGTCTTATTGAGCATATTAGGTTCCATAATCATTTTTTAAAATATGTATGTTAATAAGCAAGGATAGTATTGAAGTTACTGGGTTGGCCAAAAAGTTTGTTCGGGTTTTTGTACCATCTTATGGAAGAAACGGAACGAACTTTTTGGCAACCCAGTATGTTAGCAGTATTTTCTTTTCCTAGTACCTAAAAAGATTGATCTTTGTAAATGCATGTAGATATGAACTCTATATTCATTTTAGGTGTTTTGGGTTTGATTTTAGTGTTCGTTTGTTTTATTTTTACATTTAGCATAGTTATCAGTGCTGTTAAAAGTGGCTGTGAAGAAAATGAAAAGAATTGAAAAGGCACAGTCAGGAATTTGACTGGGTGATCTTCCTTTTCAGTTTGTTAGTGTCAGTAGTGCAGATTTGTATATCTTTTTATTCATAGTACATTCGCACATAGGCTAATTCTAAAATTATGTAGATTACAGGTATTCAAATTTCTGGAAGCACTTTAAAAGCATGATGTTAAGAGGTTTATATTGGGATGGTTTTGTAGGCTCTTTCGCTGTGTCTTGGATCCATAAACCTGGGTCTTGACATGACTAGTATTTACTTTTTTTTTAAATGACGGGTTTGTTTGAAATCTTTGTTAAATTTGGAGTACATTGGATGTAATTTCTTTCAGATGACAGGACCATGGCACTATTTTTCAGTAGAGAAGACCATACCAAAAGCTGTTAATGAGAGTATAAGGAAGAGCAATTAAATTTAATAAATATTATTTGAATGCCTTCCATGTACTCAGTGCCAGAAACTAGGAGGAGCTAAAGGAGCTCTTTTCAGGAGTGAAGAAAAAAGTCAAGGAAATAAGAATGGGCAGACTGAGTTGGACCCAAGGAATATAGCCTGCAAAGTAGAGGAATATTGTGAAGGCAGTTGAATGATAGATACAGAAGTATTTGTTTTCCCTTGGAAGGGGGTTACGGCAGGCTGTAGTCGGTCAGTCTAAAGAAGATCACATGAGAAATTCAGAAATGGTATAAAAAGGAAGAAATCACCACCTTAGGATTCTTACTCTGTTTTGTGCTATGTGATAAATAACTGTCTCCATTTCACATTTTCTCAAAATCATTTGGCAGACAAAGGAAAGGGGTAGGGGTGGCACTAATACCTGAGTAAACCCGGTTGTTCAAATGTGCCATGTAATAAAGCGAAGGGAGCTGGGTTCTACCAGCTAGTTAGTTATGTGATCCTGGGGAAGGTCACATGTGAGGTAAGGAGCTGTGGGTATTTTCAGCTCCTAATATTCCATCTTTCTTTTTCAATTGTTCTGCCATGGTGATTAAAATGGTTGAAATTAATCTTATCTAATGTCTCATAACAAATACTCTGACGCCCATCCATGTGAGGTCTCCTCTTCTTTTACTCACTGATTGACTCCCATAGGTCCACAATCCCTACCCACCATTCCAAAAGCAGTGATTAATTATTTTATAAGTTTTTAATGCTCATTTGTCAGTAAGACCTGACTTGAGTGGGCGTTAGCAGTTTGTCATCTTTGTCTTGATCAGTGAATTTTTGTTTTGCAGATTGTTAAATGTATTTGCTTATTGGGTGATGCCCAATTTTGAAGGCATATTGTGCAGTATATGGCATGTTCACCGGGATTATCTTTTTAAAATTGAAAAAAAAAAAAGAAAACCACACAAAACATTTCTGGCAATGTAACGTTATACATGAGACAGCATAGATCTATACTGTTATTTGTTAGGTAGAGTTTGAATTATTTGGAAATAGGGGACTGAACTACCTATTCTTTTTTCCTTCAGTGAAGGAACTCAAGGGTGGTGTTCCTTTTTTTTTTTTTTGGCTGTGCTGCGAGGCATGTGGGATCTTAGTTCCCCGACCAGGGATTGAACCCGCGCCCCCTGTTTTGGAAGGCGGATTCTTAACCACTGCACCACCAGGGAAGTCCCATGGTGTTCCATTTTTGATCATTTTTTCTTATTTATTCTTTCATCAAATATTTATTTAGCACTAATTGTGCCAGGCAAGTCCCTGGGTCAGTTTAATATTTTAAAGTGTTTATAATTATTCCCAACTTCTAAACATTCATTTAGGGAATATAACTAACAAGAGGCACATGCCTTCCAGTGAATTAAGAAACACAAGCCTTTGATAAGCTACAGTCCTGGAACTTAATGTTGTTTCCTTTTATAGCCACATTAATCTCTTGCACATATCCCTGCTCTTGCTGCCTCTTTCTAATGCGTGTGCGTCACATACTTCACTTCTCCAGCTTTCATTCTTTACTTCTGTTTCATAGGTCTTCTGAGATGGGTAGGTGAGTAGCCATAACTCTGTAACTCTAGTTTATCTGCTTACTGCTCATGTGAGATTGAGAGAGTTAGCCCTGTTCAGTGATCCACTTTATAACCTAGGTGTTGGTTGGATTACCTCATTCCATAGTTTTAAATCTATGTGCGGATGATTTTCAAACTTGTGTCCCTAATTCTTCCTACCTCTGGTATCATCTGTTAACTGTTTAACATTTGGATGTGCCATAGACATCTTAAAACTGATTAAACCTTAAAACCTTTGCTCTTTGATATTTTTCCCAAGATGTCTTACTTCACATTCTTCTGCTTCTTCATGAATAAATGACACCGCTATCAACTCTGTTTCTTAAGTCCAAGACTTAGGAGTTACTCTTTATTTTTCACATTTGCTTATTCCTCTCATCTAATATGTCAGTGAGTTCTGTCAAATTTACCTTTTCTGTATTCCAGATTTATCTATTCTCTTTATCTCCACTGCCACAACTCAAGTCTAAGCCACCAGCATTTCTCTAGACTAGTGCATCTTAAAGTATTGATATTAGTCCATTACCTGTTTAGTTCTGGTCCCTAACAAGATACAGATAGGAATTGAGGGTACAGTACTGGCACAACATCCAGGTGCATGGCCAGTTTTCTACCTGTTCATTGTTACTGTATTTTATTTAGTTGACCTTGGAAAGTTTACAGAAAAACCTTATGCTTAACCGCACGTAATTTGGGTAGCACCACTATAGAATATCAGTGATAGTCCTAACTGAGCTTCCTGCTTTCATGATTGTCCCTTTTATTTTTTATTTTTATTTTTTTTGTGGTCCGCGGGCCTCTCACTGTTGTGGCCTCTCCCGTTGCGGAGCACAGGCTCGGGATGCGCAGGCTCAGCAGCCATGGCTCATGGGCCCAGCCTCTCCGCGGCATGCGGGATCCTCCCGGACCGGGGCACGAACCAGTGTCCCCTGCATCAGCAGGCAGACTCTCAATCACTGCGCCACCAGGGAAGCCCCACGGTTGTCCCCCTTTTGATCCCTTATCTAAATTTATTGTTTTTCCCTTACAGAAGGTGTGACGTGAAAATCAAATTATGTCACTTTCTGGCTTAAAAGTTACAGGGTTTTCCAGTGGCGCTTAAATAACAAACTTAACGTTGCCTAGAAAGCCCTACATAAAGTGACTCCTACGTGTATTTTTAACCTCATCTCCTGCCACTCTTCCTTTTGTCCCCATGGTCTGTCTGCACATTTGCAGTTCCATAAGCATGACAGTTTCTTCCTGCCTTTGGCATTTGCCCACATTCCTACCTCTTTTCAAGACTGTTCTTTCACTTGTTCTTTGCAAGGTGGCTCTTTTTTGTCCTTCAAACCTCAGCTTAAATGCCATTTCCTTTGAGAGGCTTTTTCTAAGCATTTTGTCTAAAGGACACTTTAATATCAGTGTACATTCTCTTTGCTCCTTAACAATATGTATTCAAATTTGTTTATATGTGTTTGTTTACCTATTTGTTATGGTCTGGTTCCCCTGCTTTACTGAAAAGTCTTTGAGGGCAGGGATTATTTCTGTTTTATTTATCATCATAAAAATAAGAACCTAGCAGAGTGCCTTGTACACAGGCTGTGAATAAATATTTAAGTAAAGAATATTAATTATATTTGAAATCAAGCATAGTAATAGTAGTTGCCTCTTCTCAGCTTGTAAACAATCGGTCATTGCGTTTGCGGAAGGCAGTGATAGTGGTAGAGGCACAAGCAGCAGTAGCAGTTTGCGACAGCAGTGGCCGCGAGGTTCAGTGAATGGTAAATATGCCCAGGGCCCAGGACCTGGACAACTTGCCTTGATGTTTTTAAGACTCTTAAAACAGAATCAAGATGTAGAAATTGTTGTCTCTGATTTATGGTTGGGGACAACTGAAGCTGAGCGGCATTCATCTTAGCGTGCCGGGGTAATTTGCCTGCAAAGCGGCACAGTGAGTGGGGATAGAATCGAGATCATCTGAGTACAGGCTCTTGCTCTCCATCACTCTCCTTGTGGACTCGTACTATTCTGCTCTTTCCTCCCCCATCCTTTAAATCAAGCTTATCCTTAGCGCGTTCATCTTCATGTTCCTGTCTTGGTCCTTAATTGTATTTGTTTTTTTACTAAACACCTAAAGTTTATTTTTAATGTGTGAGCTTTTATATTTTTGCTACATTAAGTCTTCTCAGCCTTGATTTTAGAGAATCTTTTCCTATATTCCAGAGTCCATTGTGGATTACCTTAGCAAATCAGTGGTAGTTCAGTTGAAGATTTCTTTGTTCTCCTTAGTCATTCTCTCAGCAGCTCCCGTCTACAGTTTATCCATCTCTCTGTCCATCCCATCATTCCTGTATCCCGCCAGCAAATTCTGAGTATTTATTGAGATTGTATTTTATTCCAGATGACACTGTCTAGCCATATCCATGTATACATGTCAGATGTATCCATGAGTACTATTTCTAAAAATAATTTAAGAAAGTTTTAGTATTTTTTTCTCAGGAAGAAGAAAGATGAGAACACTATAATAAATATGTGTGTGAACTTGTATTTGTATATATCTTTCTCTGCTTTCTGTGGCTAGAAGAATCGTACTTGTGGACTATGTAATATTTTCTCACAATGAAATAGCTATATAAAGGAGTACAAAGTATTAGTTAAAATTTAGCATTTTACTGCTTTTAAAATGGAACATATTCCAAAGATGTGTGTGCTTTCCTTTAAAAGTGATATCTCTAAGAACTAATGTTGAATTAGAATTTTAAATTGTTGAATTTTTTTTGTGTGTGATTTAAAAAAATTAATTGTAGCACAGCACATGGCACGTAGAAGGCAGTCAATAAAAATTTATTGTATGAATAAATCCTGAAAATTGAACATACAGCACTTTTTATTGTAAAATATGTTAATCTTGAACTAGGCTGATATTGCCATTATTATGCCAACAAATATTTTTGTGTATTATAAAGTCCATAGTACATACAAATAATGAAAAGATACAAATATTCATGTTTTTATAACATGTATTCAAAATTATTGATAATACGGGCAATTCCAGAATAAAGACCTTTACATGACTCATTGCCTATAATGTTTTCTTCTGCTAATAAAAACCCAAAAAATTTTAAAAAGAGAGAAAAAGGTACATATTTTAGGTCTTAGTCCCCAGTAATGTCTTTGTTTTTCCTCCACAGCAGTTAAGTATATTTCCCTCTCCCAGCCCTTCCCCCAGAGTTAGATGCTCTTGTAGTACTCTGTTTTTGCATTTATTACAGTGTAATCAGTTAATTCAGAAGTTATTTATTTGCTTCCTTTTCTAGATCCAAGCATCCATGAATGTAGATACCCAGTGCCTACCAATGCCCATGTATCCCCTTTCCTTGTGACCACTGATTGTTGAAGTGCTAAGGCACTGTAGTGGTTTTGTGAAGCAGAGAAATAACTTAATATTATTTAAGAAGATTGCAATACATTTAAAAATTCTACAACTAGTCATATGTAAATACAAATATTTTAGGCCTTATTTACTTTGTAGCTTTGAAAATAAGAATGTGATTTTCATAACAACATTTTGAATTTTTTTCTTTCTTACAGTTTCTCAAGCCAGACCTCCCCCAAATCAGAAGAAAGGTAAGGTTGTGCCTGTGACTCTAAACTTACTTTAAAAAAGTAAACGTGAGTAAGCTAGCTTACAAAATCGGGGCTGATTGCATGCTTGTGCAGTTATACCAAATGTTTGTGTTTTGGTGTCTGTTCTGAGTAGTCAGTGCTCAAGTCATCCTGATCATTAAATATTCTGATCTATTTTAGCTGACTAAAATATTTTTTAGCTCAAAAGAATTAAAATTACAAATTTACAAACTTTTAACTTATAATTAGGAAAGTAACTATAATTCCTTTGAATAACATATTTGCTCCTTTAAAATTTTGTCCTTATAGGATCTCGAACACCCATTATCATAATTCCTGCAGCTACCACCTCTCTAATAACCATGCTTAATGCAAAGGACCTTCTACAGGACCTGAAGTAAGTAATTTCTTAAACTGTTCTTTTCATAGGACATGGAACTATTGTTGAGAATTAGTGTTACTAATGCAGTATTTATTTTGAGAAAGCAAAAATTCAGTTTCAGTGCTATAGGCTTTACAGATAGTCTCAAATATAAATTTCAGAACAGTATATTCTTTTATATCTGAATCCTGTGGGGAAAATTATAGAAACTCTGACTAAAGTTTTAACAAAGAGGGTATTATTGTATTAATTTTTTTTTAAATTTTTTTGCGGTACATGGGCCTCTCACTGTTGTGGCCTCTCCCGTTGCGGAGCACAGGCTCCGGACGCGCAGGCTCAGCGGCCGTGGCTCACGGGCCCAGCCGCTCCGCGGCATGTGGGATCTTCCCGGACCGGGGCACGAACCTGTGTCCCCTGCATCGGCAGGTGGACTCTCAACCACTGCGCCACCAGGGAAGCCCTGTATTAATTTTTAATGTGAATTATTTTGCTCCAGCTGAAGAGCTTGAAGAGGTTCTAAAACAAATTCAGGTTGTCTTCTCCTCACTTCCAAATTCTGGTTAAAGAACCAAAAAAGTAATATGAACTTTAAATAATTAGATGTGTATACCTCCTAGAGGGAGGAGGAGGGACCATACTTTTTTAACCTAGACATCAGTGGAAGATAGTTGAAGAAGTGAAGAGGAAATCTATATCCTGTGTTAAAATTTCCAGATGCTTAACTTTCTCAGTAAAATAACGATGACGATTCTTAAAAAAGAAACAAAACAACCTCACCTCCAAAAAGAAAATCATGCTGCTTCTAAATAACTTATGACTAATTAAAAATGAGTAGCAAAATAAGTTGTAATGCTTGCTGATTCCAGGTTTTACCAAATGCAGAATTAAATTTTGAGTGCCTGTGACTTAAATAGCTGTATAAAAACCTGCATAACTGGCACATACAAGTGTATTCGTATAGCGTTTTTTCTTTAGTACTTTTGAGTGAAATTTTCATTGAACCTTTTCCTAATAACAATGTGGAAAGAAGGAATTTTTAGGTTTTATATTTTTATATTTTATTAGGCTCTTTTTGTGAAGTTTCGTATTCCGATAGTGTTGTGGATTACTCAGATAATCTACAGTCTGCAGTTCCTCAAGTAATCTACAGTTGGATGAATATGAAATATAATTATTTTGGCCCATCTCTTTAAATAGATCTGATAATAATATAAAATATTATTTTATAATAAAGATAGCAAGTAGTGCATGGAAATCACAAACTAAATTTTAGCATCTTTCTCCTTAGCCTTACTACAGAGAAGCCAAACAATTTAACAAGACTACCTTCTTTGGATAGATCATGCCTAATTTTTCTTCTCAGTTTAAAACACTCCCTTCATTGTTTAACACCTCATCGCAGCTGACATCTCCCCTGCAGCTTGTGTCAGCTGGAGGCTTTGCTATGTAATTAATGCATAATTGAAACCTCCTCCACACAATTATAGTACTGGCTGTAACCCATAGCTCATGTTGGCATAGATTCTGTTTGGTTTCATGTAAAATTGAGGATTCTTCAGTTTTCTAGCCCTTCAATTAAGTAAATGAAATGAAATAAAATAAAACCTGCCTTCACCTTTAACATTTTAAATAACAAAATTAAGGTTGTATCATGGAAATATGAAAAAGCGCATTTTACATTTTTAAACATGATCTTGAGAGAAGTTTCACTGGGACCATAAGTTTATTTAAAATAAACTGATTGGATGGCACTTGTGACTCTGGCCACGATGGTCCTCTCACAGGGCAGAGTTCCAAAGAGGAAAGATTGCACGGAGAAAGCGCTCCAGAGATAGGCAAAGGGTTCCCCTTGCATTAGTCAAATAATGTTCAGCACACACATGTGAGGGAACCACTTAAGGCCTGGGGAAGAGCAGGCAGAATGGTTACTGGAGCTTATACTGGACCATAAATAGTTCGTGTTCCCTGCTGCCACATGCAGTGCAGAATGATTCAACCACTCTGGAAAACCATAGAGGAGTTAATTTTTTTCTTATTACATTGAAGGTATTATTGCACTACCTTCTAGCTTCCTTTGTTGATGATGAGAGGTCAGCTGTGGTAATCAGTCCTTTGAAAGAAATCTGCTTTATCTTATTATTTTAAAGATCATTTTAAATTTGTTTATCTGCTGTACCTAGGTGTAGATTTCTTATATATCCCACCTTGGGATTCAGAATTGAATCTATGGATTTGTGCTTTTCATCAGTTTGGGAAGTCTTGGCTCTTATCTCTTTATATATTACCTGTGTGTTCTCCCTTCATCTCCCCTTTTTTCTTTCTTTCTGGGATTTAAATGAGACATACTTTAAGACTTTCTCATTTCATCATCCATGTCTCTTAAACAGTTCTACTTTCCATCTGTTGCTCTGTCACCTGCATTCTTGATCATTTCTGTAGGTATAACTTGTAGTTTGTTTCTTTGGCCGTCCCCTAGTCTAGTCATTCCATTTTAAAATTCAGATATCTTATTTTTTCTATTTTAGTGGTCCTGTTTAGTTCTTTTTCAAATCTTTGGTCTCTCTCTCTTTTTTTAAAATAATTTCTTTTTCCCTGTACGTATTTGTAGGCTTGTTTTACAGGTTTGGTCTTTGATAGCTGCATCACTGGAAGTCCTTACTAATCATTTTCTTTTGATTATTGTTTCATTCATTATACCTCATTTCCTTGTGTGTTTAGTTTTGTTTTTTTTTACTATTCATTTAATGGTTTTCATTTAGTAATTTCTGTTCATTTTCCTTGGAATTTTTTTCTTGTGGAAATTCTTTGAGTTCCAGAATGAAGGTTTGTGTTTGTGTCTGCTAAGCACCGGGGAGCATAGCCAATCTAACATTGCTTTAAGTTAAATTCTCAGTTTGAGGTTTAACATTCAGAAATTATTGTTAATTCTCCCCCCCACCCCAATTTCAACTTTTTTTATTTAGGAGAAAGGAACTATATATATATTTTTTAAGATTGTTTTTCTTTTGATGTGGACCATTTTTAAAGTCTTTATTGAATTTGTTACAGTATTGCTTCTGTTTTATGTTTTGGTTTTTTGGCCCTGAGGCATGTGGGATCTTAGCTCTCCAACCAGGGACCAAACCTGCAACCCCTGCATTGGAAGGTGAAGTCTTAACCACCGCTGGACCACCAGGGAATTCCCAAAAACTATATTTTTAGTCTGTGAAATATCCATAAAATCGTTCTGTTTTTCAAAATAACGTAAACTTAAAATCTGGAACTTAACCTCGGTATATCAACTCATTTGCATTTTATACTAAGAAAATTATTTTACTAGAACAGTTCTTGTTTAAACAGTAATGACTTTAATCATATCACCCATACTCCTTCACCCTCATAGAATACAAAGTGGAATAAATAAATTGCAAATACTGGATGAGTCAGTGGATATCAAAATATTTCTCCAGATCACAAATATCCATCCAATCAGTTGTGTATCATTGCTGGTTGTATTCATTAGAGCACTTTTTGTTGTAAGTATTAAAAACCAACTCAAAGTAGCCTTATCAAAAAATAATTTATTAGCTCAATATAACTAGTCCTAGCTTCTGACACAGCTGGACTCAGTGCTAAATGAAGTGATCAGGATTTAGTCTCTCTGTCTCTTAAGCAGGTTCTCCTGCTCCAGGGGCAAAGATGACCATCAGAAACTCCAGGTTACCAAAAATTCCAGGATTAAGTCTTATCTGCCTGGTTTGTATAACACATTTATTTCTGAACCAGTCACTGTGGTCAGGGTTGTTAACTCTTGCTTTAAATCCAAGTGAGGTCCAATTTGCAATTCCGAGATTTGATTATTCTTGCACTTGTCAGGGTGTTGGTTAGGGCTGGGGTGGACATGGGGGGCAGGAAAACGGGTGGGCAGTGGGTTTATTTCTAGTTTACATTATTTATATTATACTGAACTTAACCCCCAGAGTCCTAGCTTTATGAAAGAAGGAACTTCTGTTAGATTCTCTACCTTGAGCAGAATATGGGCCTTGTTTCCTCTTCCAGGAGTCTAGTGAAATACAGTGTCAATAAAAGACAAAGCTTAAGTTTAATTAGTTTGCCAGTGCCTTCTGTGGATGGAAAGAAGTCTGCAGTGTTATTCTAACCTCTTTGAGTTCCCTACTTTACTCAGTCTTTGGCCCAAGAGTTCTTTACTTCTTGCTAGCTAGCTCAGAGATGCCTTTAGAATGTTCTTCATACTTTATCCCACTTTGGAAAACTTTCTGACAGTTTCTTTTAAAGTTAAACATACCCAGTGATCCAGCAGTTCCACTCACAGGTATTTATATATGAGAAGTGAAAACATGCGTCCACAAGAAGACTTATACCAGAGTATTTATAGTAGTTTTATTTGTAATAACCACAATTTTGGAACCACCCAAATGTACCACAGGAGAATGTATAAACAAATTGTGGCATATTCATACAATAGAATCTTATTCAGCAGTAAAAAAGAATTCATTGGTAGTTCACTACCAATATGCCCCTCAGCATGGATGAATATCAGAAACATTAAATTGAATGAAAGAAGCTGGGCAAAGAAGAGTACAATTCTGTACGATTCTGCATATATGAATTCGTAGGACAGGCAAAACTCGTCTGTGGTGATGGAAAGCAGAATTGTATGATTTCCTGTTGCGGGAGGAGGATGGGGATTTACTGAAAGGTACAGGAGGAAATTTTTCTGATCTCTTGCACATGTTCTGTATCCTGATGGGAGTGGTGGTTACCATGTGGAAAGGGGTGTTTGCTGACGCTCCTGGGTAGACTGAGTCACCTGGCTTGCCACGTCAGCTCCATTTCAAGTGACCTTTGATTTATAGTAAAATTTCCCTCTTACTAGCATTTGAGAAATCAAGGATTAGTGTGGTTGTTTATATAATCTTGAGGAATACAAATGCTAGATGAAGGAATATAAATTGGGTGTCTGTGTGTGAGGCTGACACACACGCATACTGACTTCTGGCCTAAGTGAGCTTGAATTCTACTTGGCATGGGAAGTAAAGACCCATACTCTTCAAGCATTATGATCTGTACATGCAGAGTGGGTTTATATCAAAAAATAATGTTTTTGGTTTAAAACTATCATTATTTAAAAAATCATTTCAAAATACGATTTCTTTTTAACGATTCATGTGGAATCATTTCTGTTTTTTGAAAGGTTTGTCCCATCAGATGAAAAGAAGAAACAAGGCTGCCAACGAGAAAATGAAACTCTAATACAGAGAAGAAAAGACCAGATGCAACCAGGAGGCACTGCAATTAGTGTCACAGTTCCTTACAGAGTAGTAGACCAGCCCCTTAAACTAATGCCTCAAGACTGGTAAATTAATCTGTATTTTTCGCATAGTCATTAATTTTTTGTGTAATGAACAAGTATCAAATTTTATCATGAGTTCTAGATAGAACCTATCCTTGAAACCTGTGTTAGTGTCTAATTTGGTCATCAGTAATGTTAACATTCTAGTAATACCTAAGTAATATATTTTGGATGTCTAAACTTTAGTTTGCTTATAAGAAGAAGCACAAACTTCTGGAAAACTTGGAGAGTAAAAATTCTTTCCACTTGTCCATTTATTCTGGATCAGCTTTTAGAACAAAATTTTCAAATAGACTAATGTTGTTTTAGAGAGCAGCCTATGTTTTAGATTTTTGATTTGGAGAATTCAAATTTTTTAGTAAGAAGTGATAAGTGAAAGCATTGTTACTTTTATTGTAAGGAAATAATTTAACAAAAATAATAACATCACCCCGGTTCAGCTCTTTTATTGCATTAAAATGTCCTTTAATAAAATATTAAGCTATTGGTTTGGCCAAAAAGTTCGTTCATGTTTTCCTGTAAGATGTTATGGAAAACCCAAACGAACTTTTTGGCCAACCCAATCTTTGTAATATAAAGTGTGTATAAATTCAGATACATGAATTACCTTAAATTGTTTAATTAATCTAAGCCAGAGTAAAAATACACATTCTAAGTGTGCATCTCTCTGATATAGAGAGTGTAACACATTGATGCATTAGCTGAAATTTACCTTTGAAGTACTCGTTAGTCTTCAGATGTTAGGAAGTCAAGCCATCGAGAATATTAGTATGTTAAAAATTTACTAAAGAATCAAGGGTTCTTGTATTAGAATTCTCCTTTAGTACCTAACAGAAATACTTTGAGTTATATATGAGGTCCTAGCCATTGGTGTCATAACCTAGGGATAACATTTTCCTTACCTTCTGTTCTCTGTTAATTGTCCTCTCAGGAGTTCACTGGGAATAGTATTTTTATTATCCAGCTCACCTGCTAACCCTATGAGACACACTAGGATCTAGGGGACCTCTGTCTAGCAAATCCTCTTTACTTTGGCAGGTACCTTGGACCTTCAACTATTGTATGGTGCAAGTTACATCATAAAATTAAGAGGCCATTTAATAGTGTGCTCCATTACCAAAGATGGTTTAGGCAGTATGGAGCATGTATATCGCATGAAGGAGGAACTTTTTAATTTAAGGTTTAATTATAGCCTTAGAGATTTTGAGCAGGTTAGGAATTTTAAGCTGTGGTTTTTCATAGTAACTTTGATCACTGCTGTAAGTCTTTAACTTGAATAGAAGGTAACTTTGGCTTAATAATCTGTTGGATGTACAGTCTCCATCTAATGCAGTGATTATCAAAGTGTGGTCTGTGGACCTCTGAGCATTCCCAGGACCCTTTCAGGGAGTTGTAAAGTCAAAACTGTTTCCATTGTAACACTGAGTTGGCTATTCATGTGATTTCTTAGCCCCCATACAGGACAAGAGCATAACCAGTGCACAAGATCAATCATTGATTTCCCTCCCTCTCTCCCACTCTGCTCTCTTCTCCACACTCCTCCCCTCCCTCCTTCTCTCTTCTGGCTAGTGAACTGTTCTCTAGTATGCTTGTGCATTTCTGTAAAATAGGGGTAATAATCGTTTACCTCACAGGGTTGTTTTGAAGGTTAAATGTGTTAACATAAGTAAACTACTTAGACCAGCACTGGCACATAGTAAATGCTCGTAGTAAATCTAATGAGTGTTAGTTATTATTGTTGATGTTATGATTTTGTTCCCTCCTCTTTAGTTGTAGGCTTATACTGTGTACGGCTTTTGTACTTATTATAATTTCTCAGTTTAATTAAATTTTCTGGAAGCTAATGAAAAATGAGGGCCTAGAAAGAGATTTGTGCTTTTTAGGAAAATGAAGTTGAATGGCTGGGAAAAACAAGTTGCTTTAGAAAAAACTTAGAGAATTTAGGGTGAGTGAAACAGCTGTAAAACAATTGAAAATGTTTAAAAGTTTAGGTGATTTCTGTACTCAGATTATTTTCCAGATAATCAGAAGAACTCAAAATAAGGCCTTTGAGTTTTATAAAATGGTTAGCAAATTATTATAATTTATAACATTTTTAATTAAAGTGAAATATTTAAGATGCATTTGAATTTTAAATGATTTTCTTTTAAAACTAACTTTTTCAATTAACAGATATACTACTGTTCCCTGTTGCATAAGCAAAATGGGCCCTTTAATTAATAGAAGGGGCAAAGATAAAAGGCTAAAAGGATCACGTATAGGACTGTGCATGTAATTATGTTTAAATGACTTAGGTGTAAAAAACAACACATGGGAAATGTAGCAATCATTATGTACCCTAATGGTAACATTATAATGAAAAGTTATGGTAATGCAGTACTGTGTTTGCCTCACAGAAGTATTGAAAGGAGACTATTGCAGGCATAATGATGAGACTCTTTCCATAAGGATTATAGTAACCAAGAATATTTGAGATACTCAGCCTCCACTCTTCCCTTCCCTCTTTTCTATTTATAGGGACCGGGTTGTAGCAGTTTTTGTACAAGGTCCTGCATGGCAGTTCAAAGGTTGGCCGTGGCTTTTGCCTGATGGATCACCAGTCGACATATTTGCTAAAAGTAAGAGTCTCTTTATTTTTACTGCTTATCTAATATAGAAATGCTTTTGCTTTCCTTCCTTCCTTCCTTCCTTCCCTCTCTCCCTCCCTCCCACATGGCTCTGCACATGTGATGTGTATACCAGAAGATTCCTGTTAAGTACCACATATTTTAATTTTTAAGCACCTGTGAAATTTTTTTTTTTTTTTTTTTTTGCGGTACGCGGGCCTCTCACTGTTGTGGCCTCTCCCGTTGCGGAGCACAGGCTCCGGACGTGCAGGCTCAGTGGCCATGGCTCACGGGCCCAGCCACTCCGCGGCATGTGGGATCTTCCTGGACTGGGGCACAAACCCGTGTCCCCTGCATTGGCAGGCGGACACTCAACCACTGCGCCACCAGGGAAGCCCCTGTGAAATATTTTAAGGCCTTTTTGGAACATTAATATTTTCTGTGTACTTATCTCTAACAGTGAATTATTGCCTATCCCATAACATTAATAAATCATTAATATTGTTGCATGTCCCTACACTTATATTCACTTTGTTAGTCAGTTTTTAAATGGGTTGACTTTCGCCTGCTACTCCCACTATCTGGAGTGGTTGCTGCATGACTGGCCTTTTTCTGTTCATTTAGGTCTCAGCCAAGTAAGTACTCTGTCTTTAGGGAGCCCTTCTCTGACCACCCTGGAAGTAGCCGTTACTTCCTCCCAGTTACTGCAGTGGTAACACTCACTGTTGCTTGACATTATCTTATTTTCATATCTGTATTGTAAGTCTTGCCTGGCTAGAATGCCAGTTCCAGGATGGAAGCAGCCTTATCTGCCTCGTTCACTCTTGTATCATCAGCACAGAAGAGAGCATGGCGTTGGGAAGCATTCAGTAGCTACCTGTTAAATGGATAGATTTCATGTGTCTTATGTCTTTTATTGACCATATTTTGGTATGTATTGATATACCAAAAGTAGATGAATTTAAGCTTGTCTTTTTTTTTTTGTTTTGCGGTACGCGGGCCTCTCACTGTTGTGGCCTCTCCTGTTGCGGAGCACGGGCTCCGGACGCGCAGGCTCAGTGGCCATGGCTCACGGGGCCCAGCCGCTCCGCGGCATGTGGGATCTTCCCGGACCAGGGCACGAACCTGTGTCCCCTGCATCGGCAGGCAGACTCTCAACCACTGCGCCACCAGGGAAACCCTAAGCTTGTCTTTTTATTGGTAGGGATATTCTAATTATCATTTAATTTGAGTACCCATTTAACATTAGTAACATTAGTAAAATTACTTTTTAAAAAGCATCCTCATGAAACAGGTATGTTTGTTAGAAATAACAACTTTATTTATGAATGTAGATTATGCTACTGTGAAACCCAGCTTTTTTTTTTTTCTTAAATAAAGCAATTTTAGTTTTTGTTAGTGGTACCACCATTCTTCCAGGCTGGAAACTGCCCAGGCTTGAAAGCTTTTTTTTTTTTTTTTTTCTTGCGTTATGCGGGCCTCTCACTGTTGTGGCCTCTCCCATTTGCGGAGCACAGGCTCCGGACGCGCAGGCTCAGTGGCCATGGCTCACGGGCCCAGCCGCTCCGCGGCATGTGGGATCCTCCCGAAACGGGGCACGAACCCGCGTCTCCTGCATCGGCAGGCGGACTCTCAAGCACTGCGCCACCAGGGAAGCCCCCAGGCTTGAAAGCTTTTAATCGCTTATTCTCCTGCCTTCATTCAGTTTTAAAAATGAATTCTAATATGATGGTAGCTTTTTATGTTATTTCAGAAACCTGAGTAATGCACAGGTTTGATAAATAGAAGTCAAAGATGTAGAGAGAATGGGAGTTTTAATGAAAGCAAAATGTCAGTGAACACTAATTTTGTTGTCTTTCACCTACTTGCTTGCCTTATTGAATAATACTGTAATAAAAAATGATTAGAATGTCTTCAAGATATAAATGCTCTCTAAATTCATTGTTGTTTTGTTCAGATTGTTAGTCTTCAGAAATTTAGATAAGAACTTAGAGATTTTTTTAAAAGTTAACAATACTAATTTTCTTCCAAGAAGTATTCTTTCTCTTCAACCTTCCTTCTTTACTTATCAGCATTTACAATGAAAGTACTCTTGCCCCGTGCATCATAAAAGGAAACAAAACCCTTTCCTCTTACCTCACCTTTTCTTCTAGCTGGCTCTCCTTTCCTTTTACAGCCAAGCCTTTGAAAGAATTGTCTCTACTCACTCACTTTCTGTTTGATTCTCAGGCTACTGTAGTTGTGCTCTCTTGCTTGCCCACTAAACTGTTCCTGCCAGACTCACCAGTGACCCAAATATTGGATACTTTTGATCTCCTTATCAGAATTTTACTCTCGATCCATTTCCTCCTTTTTAAATGTTCTTTTCTGAGGGCTTGTTACATTTTCACAGACACTAGCTACTCTTCCTCTGGCTTTCAGTGACATATTTGTGTTCCCGCGTCTCTTCTCCTTTAATTACACATACTCTCTCAAGGAGATCTGATAGCTTTCAGTTACCATCTGTATCCTCTGTTTATAAAAGTTATGTCTCTGGCTTGATATTCTGGGTCTGCCTATCTCGCTGATGACCAGGTGACTCCTTGTGAAGTCCCATCGGTGTATCAGGGCTCAACCTGTTCCAAGCGGAATCTATTGTCTTATACCCTCTGTCATCCCCAAGCTGTTCTTTGCCTCAGTCAGTTTATTTTTAGTAATTTGCCTAAGCCAATTTAGAAATATGTTATCTCTTAGCTTTTAGCTGGTCTCCTTGTGTTTAACTCTTGACTCTTCTAGCTCCTCACCTTTTCCCCATAACCCACATAGAAAATGATAATCTCTATATAGCATAGGAGTAAACTGAGAGTACTTGGTAAAAAAAAATTTATATTTTCTTCATATTGCACAGTAAGAAAATACAAAGGTTTAGAAAAGATTTTAAATACTGAATTGTATAAAATTTCCAAATAAAATCTTTTCAAAATTATGAGAGATTTGAGCTTGTAACTGGATATAGCTTTTAACAAATTTATTTACTTATTTATTTTTGGCTGCATGGAGTCTTCATTGCTGCACGTGGGCTTTCTCTTGTGACGAGCGGGGGCTGCTCTTCATTGCGGTGCGCAGGCTTCTCATTGTGGTGGCTTCTTTTGTTGTGGAGCACCGGCTCTAGGCATGCGGGCTCAATAGTTGCGGCATGCGGGCTCTAGAGCGCAGGCTCAGTAGTTGTGGTGCACGGGCTTAGCTGCTCCGCGGCATGAGGGATCTTTCTGGACCAGAGCTTGAACCCGTATCCCCTGCACTGGCAGGTGGATTCTTAACCACTGCGCCACCAGGGAATTCCCCAAAATATTATTTCTTATGCTTGAAATGGTTACATACACTTGTTGATCAAGATTTTTAAATGATGATTTCTTCAGATTTTTTAGTTATCATTGTGAAAACTTTTTCATTTAATAATATTCTGTATTATGTTGTCCCTTTGTCATTTGACATGCCATCATTTATCTACCGAAATAACTATTTAAGAGCACCTTTCTATTTCTTTTCTTTCTTTGTTCCTACAAAAAAGCGTTGACAACATTCATGCACTTTGCAAAAAATGAACAATTCTGAATTGTGTGAAGTATTTTGCTTTAGTGTTCATTGTTTCCCCAGATAACTGGCTTCTTATAAGAAAAACTTTGTTTCCTCTATTTTTGCTGAGGGTTAAAAATTATGTCTTTTATGAGTAAGAAACACTGGACTTACTGGAATTCCTCCAGGGAATTCCCTAGACTGGAGGCTGAGTTCTTGCTGGGGTTGGTTACACCTGCACTGCCCAAAACAGAAGCCACCAGCCACATTTGGCTGGTCCAAATTGAAATGTTCTGTCAGTGTAAAATATACACCAGATCTCAGAGACTTATACAGGACAAAAATAAAATATCTCATCAATAATTTTATATTGATTACATGGTAAAATACATTTTAGATAAACTAGCTTAAATAAAATCTTAAAATTAAAAAAAAAGATGTTTTATGGTGTCTTGGTGTAAGTTTGCTTGCCACCATTGCTTCATGCTAATAACGTACTTTGTATGATGAGAGAAACCATATGTTTCCTCATTTGTGACTTAACCTTTTTGGACTCTGATATTGTTTTAATTTTAAAAAGTTGTGTATTCTATTGGAAAAATAAATACTGTGTAAACTAAATCTACTGAAATTAGTAAAGGGGATTATAGGCCTTTATATAAGGCTTTATTATTTATTTTTAATTAATTAATTAATTATGGCTGCATTGGGTCTTCATTGCGGTGCGTGGGCTTCTCATTGAGGTAGCTTCTCTTGTTGCGGAGCACAGGCTCTAGGTGCACAGGCTTCAGTAGTTGTGGCACGTGGGCTCAGTAGTTGTGAGTTGTGGGCTCTAGAGTGCAGGCTCAGTAGTTGTGGCAGGCTTAGTTGCTCCGCGGCACGTGGGATCTTTCCGCACCAGGGATCTTTCCGCACCAGGGCTTGAACCCGTGTCCCCTGCATTGGCAGGTGGATTCTTAACCACTGCACCACCAGGGAAGCCCTATATAAAGCTTTAGATAAGTCATTTTAAAACTTATAACTCGATGTATTTTTAAGAATGATTTTTAAAGCAAATCATACTGAGAACATTAGAAAAGAGAAACATGTAGTAAGCACAATAGAGAGTATTCAAATATTGACTTCATTTAATTTAAAAGTTTAAAGAAACTTAAAAAATATTTTTTACACATATAAATAATAATTATTTTGAAAGTGAGTTTTCTGAATCCATAACGGATAGTCCCTTTAAATGAATTGGTTTAAATTGATTAATTTGAATTAAATTCAAAATAAATAATGTGCTCAATGAGACCTTTATTTATGAAAGCAAATAATTTAGAAGTAATATTTATGTGTTTTTGAGGGGCACAAATGGTTTATTTTGTATTTCCATCAAGGAATTAGACCTTGATTAGTTAACATCAAAAACCAGTAAGTCTGCAAGCAGTATGGAACAAGCAATCTATAAATTAGCTACTTAAAAAAATTAACAATCATTTTCTCTTTAGAAACTCCTAATAGTAGATGATAATGGTGATAGTAATGATCATATCTTATATGTTAGAAAAAAAGTAAAAAATGGAAAGAAAAGGTAAACATCTTCCATGTACACAAGTAAAACTAACACTCCACTGATGATAAACTGATTGCAAATACAATAATAAACTGGTGAGGATGGTCCAGCGGGACGATCAAGGAAGAAGATTCAAAGTCAGTGTTTATGGTCACCCTTTAACGTCCGGCAGCAGACACTTGTTGGGAAGTTTAGTCCTAGAGTCTTTAATCTCCCCAGCAACCAGAGATAGCGTTTGAAAACGAAAATCAGATAATTTCACCTCCTTGCTCCAAACTGTCTAGTGGTTTACTATCACATTTGGAATAAAATTCAGATTTCTTATCATAGCTGAATAGGTTCTGCATATAGGACATTGCCTACAAAAGTTGTTCTTGTTTGTAGGGCATTCCAAGCTTCCTTCTGTCTAAGGGCCTTTGTATCAGCTGTTCTCTCTGCCTGAAATCCTCCTCTTCTAGATCTTTGCTAGACTCTCTTTTTATATCATGCAAATATCTACTTCCAGATAACCTTCTCCAGAGACCTTCCAGTTGTTTCTTCTTCCTTTTTCATTTCTCACCAGGTTCCATTAGTTCTCACTTGCTAATTATCTCTTGAAGCTTGTCATATGTGTATCTTCTCCCCAGTAGAGCAAATCTCTTTCTCCTCTAGATTACTATGCTGTATCATCAGTCTCTGCTGTACACTCTGCAGTGAATCCCTACATCTCTTAGGTAAAAATCCAAACTCCTGAATATGGCCTACAAGGCCAGCATTGCTCTGAACTTCTATGGTCTTAGCTTTTATTCATTCCCTGTGTTGTTTTTTTTTCCCCTACCTTACTTTGCATGATGCAATTTTGTTAAATTTCTTTAGTTCCTAGACTAAACCTTTTTCTCTTTGAGCATGTTCTTTTTGTTAACTGGATCACTTTTCTGTGTAATTCTGTGTAATTCTTACTCCACCCTGCCTATGTGTAAAGCCTTTTCTGAATCCCACGATGTGGGTAAGGTACTATTCTCTTGTGTTCCTATGATATTCTACTACCTTTATCATACTGTATGTGAGTAGTCTTTTTCTTCTTCTTATCCTTCACTGGATCATATGCATTTTATTTTACCTCATTTTTTATTTCAGTCCCCAGTGGCTGGCATGTATAAGCCTCAGTAAATTTTTGTTGAATGTTTTGGGAGATACTACAGTGCTCAGCCTCTATTTCAAAGATCACTTTGGTTATAATACAGTTTTGGTTGGTGGAAGAATGGTTGACTTTTTTTTTTTTTTAAGTTTTTTTGATTAATGTCTGTGTTTGGGTATTTTTATTCTTTTATAAAATATTTTTATAATTTTGGTTGCAGTTTGAATAAAGAGTATTATTTCTCCCCCCTGTAGTTAAAGCCTTCCATCTCAAATATGATGAAGTTCGTCTGGATCCAAACGTTCAGAAATGGGATGTAACAGTATTAGAACTCAGCTATCACAAACGTCATCTGGATAGACCAGTTTTCTTACGATTCTGGGAAACCCTGGATAGGTAATCCTGATCCTAAAATGCACTTAACTTCTGCCTTATTTTAGTAATTTTCCTGCCTCCTTATTGGATTTTAAGTTCCTTAAAGTTGTGAACTGTATCCCCCAAAGCCCCTTTAAAACATTGCCTAATTTGTTGTTGATCTAAAATAGATAATTAACCAATATCTTGGTTATACTGACTTGAACAAAGGGAGAAAGGGCTTATAGCTTGGTAGAAAGAGCACTAAGTCTGAGTCAGAAGACCTAGATTTTAGTCTTGATTTTGTGATTCGGCTCTAATGAACCATGTGACTTTTCTGAACCTTGTTTTCTGTCTGTCCAGGGAACTTGGACTAAGTAAGTGATCCCTTCGTTTTTTGCCAGCACCAAAAGGTCTCTGACTCTGGACTTGAGTTATGGGTAGCTGGCTGCTCATGAAAGGAGTTCAGTTTTTGAATATATCTTAATTACTAGTATAAATTGAGTTCTTAAAGACCTTTGCAATAATATCAGTTTTATAATTGGAAATTTAACAACAACATGTGATCACAATACCACTGAATCTGTGGTTCTCATTTCAGGTGCTCTGTAAAATCTGTAACTTTCTTGGTCTCTCACCGAATATTATGGGTTTCCTCAAAGTCATAGGTGATTGAGTTAACCCAGTGGTTATAACTGATAATATATTAAAGAGAATCATTTATTCTAGCCAGAAGCTCTTAGATTATAGAAATTATTAAGAGGAATGTTTTTTTCTGGCTTACTTCAGAAATTCTTATATTCCCAAAGGTTACAGTATCCATTTTTTAGAAAGCAAGACATCCTATTCCAGTGTTGATTTTAAGTTTTAAAAAATGTCAACTTATTTTTACATGTAATATTCTAAAAGTTCTAGAATTCTTATAATCATTATAACTTATTTAATATTATTTTTCAGGTACATGGTAAAGCACAAATCCCACTTGAGATTCTGAATTACTTGTTTTCCCACTTTTCTGGAAATCTGGATTAAGAAGCATGGATACACCGTGATCTAGAGACTGGGACTCAAGCTTTATGAATTTATCAGTGAAGAAGGTCACAGATCGAGCTTTTATAAAACCTTATTTGATGATTTATGCTTCGAAGGGTTGATGCCTGTCATATAAGCAAACTTTTTGGCTTACAACTATTTTTTTAATATTAGCCTTCTAGTCTGTAATGGAAATTGTATATTTTGATAGAATTTTTTTCTCCATTGGTTAAAGTAGCATTACTTAAAGTTTGTTTCTTTAGAAAATAAATACAGGTTACAAAAGTGTGTATATGTAGAGGTTATAAGGCTCTCTAAGCCATCTTCTGATTTTTCATTGCTCTATAATTCCTTTTATTGAGAATACTGTGTTATGAATGGTATTAATTTTAGTCTCTGGAACTTCCAAAACCAAGCAAAGGGATGTGACTATTTTGAATGAATCAAAATGTCAGCCTGTATGTGTACTATATCTGTACTTTCTCTTTATTTAAAAAGGAATAATGAAAAATCAAGAACAATTCATCACCTTTGGTTGAACTGTTCGGCTTTTCAAGACTTCTTTACTTACAATGAATACATTTAATGAATGTACATTCTTCTCACTGACTTTGGTAATTTTAAAACTTAGAATGATATATTTCTATCTGTGATATCTTTCCACTTGAAAAATCTCAAAACACAGATTAAAAACCTTATAGGCTATAGTACTTTTTATTTTGGGAGCCAGAGTATGATTTGGGGGAAAGAAATGTATTAGTCCTACTGCAGTGTAACTCTGTCTTTTCTCATAAGTCCACCTTTGATTCTTTGTATGGTATAGGATTTTGAGTCTTCTGTTTCTAGGCATGTTCTTATCTTCCATTATCTTTAAATATTGATAAACTCTCCCAGACACCAAAGAACATATTTGCTTAATTAAGTGTCTGAACAGAAACAAGATAAAAACACTGGTATTTTTATGTGCGTATTCAATATCGTATAAAATATAAAACCTATATTTTAACTTAGTAAAATATTTTACTACTTCTGTACGTTAGACAGAGTGTTGCATCCAAGGTAAAACGAATGAGCGTTTTTCTTGAGTCTTGATCCACCTTTTATTACTTAAAAGCAGCTTTTGGAACCTTTACTCCCCTAAAGAGTTTTTGCCACTAGAATTGTTGCTGATCATTCATCTTATGTCATTTCCCACCCCAGGAATCTCTCGTAGGTTCACATATTTTATGTATACATTTAGCTCCTTCTTATGTTAAGCTGACATTACCTAGCCTCATTTTGAAATTTAATGCTATCGTAAAAATGAGAAGCACTTAATATTTATTTTTTAAGTAACCAAAAAAGTCCATGCCAATAATGAACAGAAAAAGTCTTTATTCATATGGAATTCACTAGGTTCTTGAGGAAGAAAGCAGTCAGCGTTTTAAATTATTAGATTTTAGGATATTTATAAGGTTTGAACAGACTCTGCCCTCCACCCCTTTCTTCCCTTCTCTGCATCCTCTCTTCTTGAAAAGAAAACTCAAATTTGTTCACATTAGAATTTCTCAGCATATAAATCTGTTTTCAAAATAAATTGTGTTGTATAAACTTTCTCCGTGATGAAATAGTCAAGGACTAGAATCTGTAATATTTTAATGTAAGATTACTTGTTAAGACTACTACAAGTGGACATGAACTACCTTTCTATAAAGATTTTTAGTATTTATACTTATGTATGAAATTTATAGAGTGTGGTTAAAATTGGGAACATCTACTTTAAACAGGGTTTATTTTTCTATCTTGAATTTGCCTTACGTGTATTCAGAGGCTCTGGAAATAACATTAGGAAAAGTACAAATATGCTGTTTCATGTATTTGAAAATCAAACCCTTAGTATGTACTTTTTGTCTTTTTCTTTTCCTTTTTTTTTTTTTTTTGACCTTCATTCCCTTATTTAGGTCCATGTAATTCATTTTATAGCCATTAATTCTAAGGAAAAAAGCTTCCAGCCCATCACTCTTCATCCTCTCATGGCTCCAGGTCCTGTAGCGGCACCTGTCACAGTGCCTTGCACACAGTAGGCATTCAGTACATATTTATGTGCACGAATGAGTGATGGATTCTCAGTGTAACTGATTTATTACAAAAAAGTACTTTGACTCTACTTGGTCTTGGAGTTTAAAAATACAGAATTGTAATTGTAATTCCCTGTAGGGAATGAAGAGTCCTATGCAGATATTTTAATGGAAAGGAAGTATGCATTAGTAAGTTTGACTTACCCATAAGTAACTGGAGACACCCTTGTCTTGTCTCACCAGTAAAAGAAAGCACCTTTTCTTCATTCGTAGGACACCTTTTCTGAGTCAGGCAACAGTAAGAAGCTTGTGGGTTTCAGTCAGCAGCTCTCAACCCTGGCTGTACATTAGAATCATTTGGGGGCCTTTAAAAAATTCCATTGCCTGAATCCTGTTTCTGATTTAATTTGTATGGGATGAGACCTGTTCATCAGTATTTTTAAAAAGTTGTTCTTCAGGTATTTTATGTTGAGAAAGGATCGAAAATCACTGGCTCAATTTGTTACGAAAATAATGCCAGTATTAAATGTTGTGTCGTCTCCTCCTTTTTTTGTTTTCTGTGTTTTTTTTCTTTTGTAGCCACCTTTTGCACTAGACCATCCCCATTATTGGTGGTATTGGCCTATAGTTCCACAAGACAAATTCAAGTCTTATTTATTTAATATACGAATATTTTGCTGTTTAATATTTAAACAATGTTTAATATATTTCCTTATAAACTAGTATTATAGTTTATGGTTTGTTTCCCATGTGTCCATATCCTTTACTAACTTTTTTTTTAACAGCAGCGTGACAACAGTCCATACAGAAATAGCTAATTCATAATGAGGAAAATTCATAATTAATTTTTAAGGTAGAAGGAAATAAAGTATTAATTTCTTATCTGCCATGCAGAATTAGACAAATAGAATTTGCTTATGAAAGGAAAGAGGCATACTTTTTAATTGGTCTACACAGAAAAGTAAAAGTAAATTATTCATTTAAATAAGATTCATTATCTAATAAACATTGAAGGAAATATTTTTCCTAAATAAAAAATTTTGTGACTCCTAATAAAATTAAAGTGATGACATTGTTCTTTTTTGGAGGGTGGGGAGCGGGTATTTAGTTGCCATATTTCTTACTACATAACAATTTCATTTTATTGGTGTCAACAGTAGGAACAGTGATGATAAGATATACATATGTGGCCAGGAATAAAGTGCCACTTTGCCAGATAACAGTTATATGAGTCTTAGTTGTCAAACTAATTCGTTTATAAAATTTTTTGAGACCAGACCAACAGTTTATTTTATAATATTACAAATGCAGCCATTACAAAAGCTGGTCAAAATTAAAGGAAACATGAAAAATAAATTTAATCACATTAGCCTTAATATTACGTGACTGAACTTTTATGATTCACTTGGATTTGATATTCAACTGATTACTCTAAGCATGGTATATTAACTTTAGAAATAAAAAGGGGAGAAATGACTGAATTTGACATAAGAATTGCATTAGAAATTTTGAAATGCCATGTCCTATATGTTCTGGCCAACTCATTGCCACATTTGGATATATATTGACCCCAGCATGGCTTCTATATTCATATGTTGGAATAATAACTAAGGAAAAATTTTAAATGTATAATAGATGTATAAAGAATTATATTTAGTAAGTGCATAATAGGTAATAACACTTTCAGGTTATTGATCTGTTTGGTTTTTTATGTATTATTTTAGGTAGTGTTTATACGAGTTATCTTGGGAGTTATAAATGCGTGCCATTTAAATGAGTAAAGCTAATGAAATAAAACCAGTTTTATTGCCAAAATTCAAAAAGTGGGGTGATACTATGTCAAATTTAAGTAAATGACCTATCTCTGAGAATTTTGTTTGCCATTGAATTCCATTTCTATCCACTTTAAATTTACTAAAAGCCACTTAACCTCCAAGTTTGATTAAAGTGCTATAATGTATAATGCGGTTCATGTACATGGTCTAGGCACTAGAAGTGATTGTCTAGCCACCGATTTTATTATTTCTCAAGCAGAGTGGTTCTTGAGTAGAGTTTAAATTTGGGCGGTGTAACCTGATAAAGTGTTGTACTCATTCTGATTTAACATCAGTGGATTTTTAAGTCTCCGGTTTAATTGTGAATAAAACATTTTGTGGTACTTTAATACTACCCTCCCCCCCGCCCCCATGCCCCACCAGAAAAATCACATTCAGCCAAGAAGACAGAAACTGTACTGTGGGGTAGGATGTGGATGATGAAAGTCTTTACATAAAATGATTCATCAGATTTTTCAGGCATAGTATTCCTCTGTTTCGGAGATAAATACAGTATATATAAGTTTTCACTTTGAAAACTACTGAGTTAAGTACATTTATAGTCACCTTTTCTTCTGTTAATGAGTTAAATAATACAGAGACTCGTAGTTCTTCATAAAGATAAGCTGTGTGCTCGGCTGAACTTATAGCTTGGTTACGGTCACATTTCCCATATCCTTGTAATAGAATTAAGAGTGTATCCTGGTAAATTACATTATCTTTACAGTTTGAGCATCCTGATTTTAACATTTAATAGTTTCAGAACAAACTGTACTCCCACATAATCAAATCATTAGCAGCAGCAGCATATTGGTGGTGCCAGTAGTATTGTGTGAATCTTCTGCAGCAAAATTTCTTTAATGAAGAGTTTAATGGGCCATATTTGAACTTAATTTCCATCCAATTCATAAGTGCCCACTAAATATGTATTTTATTCTGCTCTCTGTTCCTTTGATCATCTGCTCTTGGGTGAGCTTTCACATAACTAAAATAGATATAGCCTGAGTTGTAAATGTTGAACTTTTTTAGGGCTTAACGGTACTAGTATATAAATAACAGCACATTGCCAAATAAGCTTTTTTTCTCTCATTTTCTAAAACACTTTTCCTATTATATTTGATTGTATAATGATCAGCATTTATGGTGGGTTAGAAGACTTTTCCTCTCAATTTTCTTAAATGACCATAAAAAACATTAAAAATAGCTCTGGAGAGGGCTGTGTTGTTGAGTCTGCCTCATTATTATTTGTAGATCCTTTGGCATAGAATTATTAATAGTTTATAATTCACCCTCATCTATAGAATGTTGATTTATATCACGTAACTGATGTCAGTAGGGCTGAGGCCGTATGAAACAGAAGGCATCTGAGAGATTCTGTTTATCACATTTGGATATTTTATTGGGCTGTGCTTCATTTGCTACAAAAAAAATCCAAATCGAAACACATTGGGTCATACAACATTCACTGTGATAAAATATGGTAATGTATATTCACAGAAGAGCTGCCATCCTGCAGTTCACAGTGCTAAAGATGTAAATGTGGTAATGGCATCGATTTTCCTTTTTAAATTTGTTAAATAATGTGAACATGTTTCTCTTTAAAATGTAATAATGTGAAGGTTTGTCAGGTCAGTGTTGATGGTTGGGGAAGATCAGATGAGCTTGTTCGTGCTCGTTCAGATGCACAGTTGGGCATCGCTAATGTTTATGGTGTTTTTGATTTTGAAGAATTTGTATTCTTAGTTAT